TCCCCTTTTTGACTCCTATTTAACTAATTTCAGAAGGTTTCCAGACGTTTCCTGTGGACATTCTGCAAAAACTTAGATGGTATATAGGGAGCCTAATGGCCATAGGGAGACTAAGTCTCCTCCCTTTCCAGTCGCTCATGGGTCCCCGGAGGAACGAAAAAATTAATGTAAGTCAGTGAGGCTAAAAGAGCTATTTTCTAATCCGCTTTGCCTTAGGCCCTGGATTGCACATATGTTATATTTAAATGAAAAGTAATGATGTGTGTTTTGACCATGCCAGTAACATACTTTGAGATTTATCAGATAGTAAATGTTTGTAATTAGCATGACTACAACAGCCATTGTAATATACAGTAACTCTGATGACTTGATTATTATTATTCTGAGCTACTACAGCAATCAATTCCCCTCTGGGATTAATAAAGTATTTTTGAATTGAATTGAAATCAGACATCGGCGCGTCGCATATATGACGTCACCACAGAATCTCCTAGCATAGCTTCTACTTACCACATGGCACGATTTATGGTGATTATTTCCTCCTGAAGGACGACTTCAAGCCGGTTGCCCTAACGTCACATGTGAAGAAGACCATGGAGAGGCTACTGCAACCTCATCTAGGGCTGCAGACCCAACACGCTCTGGATCCTCTGCAGTTTGCTTATCAGGAGAAGGTGGGAGTGGAAGATATTATTATCTTCTTGTTACACAGGTCCCTAACTCACTTAGTGCTGTGGTGCCGTAAGGATCCTGGATTTTTCCAGCGCCTTTAATACCATCTAGCCTATGCTCCTCACAAACAAGCTGACCTAAATGGAAGTAGCACCGCAACTGGAGGCATGGATATCTGGCTATAACCGACAGACTCCAGTATGTGCTACTGGGACACTGCAGGTCTGACACTGTGGTCTGCACCACTGGAGCACCACAAGGGACTGTACTCTCCCCAGTCCTGTCTGTACACATCCGACTTTCAGTACAACACAGAGCTATGTCATGTACAGAAGTTCGTAGATGAGTGTCATGTTGTGGTGAAGTGATCTAACCCACGACATACAGAATCAGATCGGAGACGGTTTAAAAGGTTTAAATAAGGATTTATTGAAGGGAAACCAAGGGAGCAGCGTAAACGAAGCTGAGTTCTTGCACAGGGAGGCTGGTGCGGGAAAACTGTGGACAGATCGGAGTTAGAACCAGTTTGCGGAAGGAACGGGAAGTCAGACTTGTGCGGAGGACTTACGGTCTGGAGAGGAGGGGACTGGTTTGAGGGAGGAGTGGTCCGGTCTAAGTTGAGTGGCTTGCAGGGACTGAGATCCAGAAGCGAGACGTGGAGGGAGCTGAGTTTATGGAGGTCCAGGAAGTTTAGGTGGGCAGCTGGAGGTGGTTCTGGCCAGGGGAGAGGCTGAGAGACGTGCGGGGTTGGAGATCCAGGTGGTGTGGACTCCAGAGTTCTGCCAGTCCAAGATGAGAGTGTGTAGGTTCATCTGGGAACAAGAGCAGGAGGTCAAAGGGCAAAAATACAAAACTCATTAAATTCTTAAAAATCCAAAAACACAATCTAATTCTCAAAAGGCTTAAAGAGCTTGAACAAGATAAACTAGCGGCTGTTAGAAGGTACCCAGGTAGAGTAATCATCCAGCGAAGTGTAGGAGTCTCCCAGCTGCTTAAATACCCCTGGCCAGCTGATGAGCAGATCTACTGCAGCTTGGTCACCTCCAGACACGCCCACCTGCAGAGGGAAACTCAAAAGACAGGGAGTGACAGCAGGGAAATACCTCAGACCGTGACAATGAGACTGCCATTGCGGAATGTGTTAGGAGGATGAGTACAGAGGTCTGATTCAGGACTTTGTAACATGGTGTGATTCCGATCACCTGCTCCTTAATATCTGATAAACAAAAGAGACAGTGGTGGATTTTAGGAGATCAACGCCACAGCTGGAGCCAGTTTATATCAAAGGAGACAAGGTGGAGGTTGTACACATCTATGAATACCTGGGAGTGCAGCTGGACTGCACTGCTAGCACAGATGTTCTGTACAAGAAAGGGCAGAGCTGACTGTACTTTCTGAGAAGACTGGCATCTTTCAACATCTGCAAGAAAATAATACAAATCTTCTACCAGTCTGTGGTAGCGAGTGTCCTCACATTTGCGGTGGTGTGCTGGAGGGACTTAAGAAGAAGGATACTGCACGCCTGGACAGATTGGTGAGGAAAGCACGCAGAGTAGTTGGTGCAGAGCTGGTCAGTCTGACATCAATGACAGAGAAACGGGTGTTGAACAAGATTCTGTCAATCATGGATAACACCCACCACCCGCTGCATAGCGTCATTTCCAGACAGAGGAGCAGTTTCAGTGGCAGACTGTTGTCATGGACCTGTTCCACAGGCTGACTGAGAAGATTGTTCCTCCCTCAGGCCATAAGACTCTACAAAGCTTCCTGGAAAAGGTGTTGATTATGACTATGATCATAACACTGTGGCCCTGATTTATAATCCCCTCATTAGATATTTAAATATGGGGGAATAGCCTGTTGTGTATACATACCAAGTCTGTCTTTTTGGAAGAGGAGAGAACAAAGTAAAGGATGCATGTGCTAGAGTAGTGTACCCTTTTCATCTCTTTTTATCCTTAAGGATTAAGGGAGAAGCTTCATGTTTTTATGTATTAGCAGCTAGCTTTAATATTTAAAGCCATTTAAATAATTACCATATAACTTTTTGCATTCCAATTTTCATTTTAGCTCATATTATTTTATATTTTAACCTTAATTTAACCTTTTTCCAGTGTTTCCTCTGTGGGAGCCCTCTGCCCCGGGGGCTGTGGTCGGTTGTGGCGGCCTGGGTGTTTTCCAGGTGTGCCTAGGTGGAGGTGGGGTTCTCCGCCCTCCCCGCCCTGGGCGCCCTGTGTCGGTGCCTCGGCTGCTGCTGTGGATCTGCTGCTGTCGGGACGGATGGCTTCCCTGATGGCGTTTCCTTATCTTAGCTGGTCTGGCTCATCTAAACTTAGTCCATTGTGTTTTTTCCGGGGGGGGGGGGGGGGGGGGGGGGCATGTGTGTGTGCGCACGCCGGAGGATGAGTGTTGTGAAGGGCTTTTTATTGTCAGACTGTTTTTAAATTCTGGGGATGGGAGAGAATGTGGGTATGCAGGGCCTTTTTAATTTGTTAAGCACTTTGAGTTACATTCATTGTATGATTAAGTGCTTTATAAATAAAGTTTGATTTGATTCTCTTTATGAGATCTATCTATCTATCTATCTATCTATCTATCTATCTATCTATCTATCTATCTATCTATCTATCTATCTATCTATCTATCTATCTATCTATCTTCTATCTATCTATCTTCTATCTATCTATCTATCTATCTATCTATCTATCTATCTATCTATCTATCTATCTATCTATCTATCTATCTATCTATCTATCTATCTATCTATCTATCTATCTATCTATCTATCTATCTATCTATCTATCTATCTATCTATCTATCATCTATCTATCTATCTATCTATCTATCTATCTATCTATCATCTATCTATCTATCTATCATCTATCTATCTATCATCTATCTATCTATCATCTATCTATCATCAATCAATCAATCAATCAAATTTTATTTCTAAAGCGCTTTTCAAACAAAGTGTGATTCAAAGTGCTTTACAAAATGACCCCAGATTCCCATAACAGGTTAAAAACATTAACAAACATATGCAAGCACACGCGCACGCACACACAGACTCACACACACACGCAAGTAAAAATTATATTAGGCTGAGTCCAGATGAGCCAAGTATGGTAACGCAAGGAAACACCATCAGAGGAGCCGTCTGCCCCGGCAGCATCAGGTCTTCCACACTAAGTCAGGGCGCTCAGTGGAGGGGGAGCATAGACCCCCACCTATAGAGCACCCAGGAAGCTACAGTCGACCACCGCTCCCGGGGCAGAGGGCCCCCACAGAGGAAACACTGGATTAAAATTAATAAAAATGTAATAAAAGAGCTAATATAAATGACAAAAATTAGAAAATAAGTAATAAATAAAATGATATAGACAGTAAAATAATAATTTAATAATAAAACTGTGCTAAAATATAATTATATAGAACATGCAAAGCAAGTAATAAAATATAATAATGTAAAATGAGAAATAAAACTGTAGAAAATATTTAGATAAAAGCTAACCTAAAAAGATGGGTCTTGAGTCTGGACTTAAAAACATGAACGTTCTCTGCGGCCCTGAGGTCCTCTGGCAGCTCGTTCCAGAGGCGAGGGCCATAACAGTGGAAGGACGCCTCGCCGTGAGTTTGTGTCCTGACTTTAGGGATGACCAGGAGACGCCTGCCAGAGGAGCGCAGAGGCCGCGAGGGTTCATATTGTAAAAGCAGTTCTGATAGATAAGAAGGCCCAAGACCGTTAAGACACTTAGAAGAACCTTAAAATTGATCCTGAAACATACAGGGAGCCAATGCAATGATTCTAAAACCGGTGTAATGTGCTCCCACCTCCTGGTTTTCATCAGGACACGTGCTGCCGAATTTTGTAGAAGTTGTAAGCCTGAGATGCTCTTTTTGGGAAGACCAGAAAGCAGGGCATTGCAGTAGTCTATTCTACTGGTGATAAAAGCATGCATCAGCATCTCCGTATTGGCCCGAGAGAGAATGGGGCGGACTCTGGCGATGTTCTTTAGATGATAAAAAACAATTTTTGTGATATTTTTAATGTGTGGAATAAAAGTCAGCTCAGAGTCAAAAATCACACCCAGGTTCTTCACTTGTTCAGATGGATTAAAAGACAGAGATTGTAATTTCGGTAAAAGCTTCTCTCTCTGGGCCTCAGGACCAATGACTAAAACTTCAGTTTTGTCCTGGTTGAGCTGGAGAAAGTTCTCTGCCATCCAGGATTCGATGTCTAAAATGCAGTTAAAAAGTGCATCCATTGACCGAGAGTCATCCGGAGACACGGAGAAGTACAACTGTGTATCATCAGCATAACTGTGCCTAGGAGTACCAGGAGGGGCAACACAAGTGTGGTGGGAGCAAACACGAAGACGATAAAAAGTTCAAAAGGAGTTTATTAACTAAAATTGTCCCAGGCGGGTGTAAATAAAGTCTCTGGAAATAATAATGTCTATAATAACTGAAGACAAGGGGCAAAAGCCCCCCTCAAGCTCGGATAATACCCTCCTGTTTTGTGTACTGGTCCTTCTTTTAGTCCTGTGCTGCTCCTAACGTGGCCGGCGTCTCACGCTCTCCCGTTCTCTCAGTCTCTCTCTCTCTCTCAGGGGATGGGTTTCCTCCAGAAAAGATCCTCGTGTCATCTGTAGTCTTTAGTCCACTCGTCTCCACGATCTCCGGCTGCAACTCTCCGTTTCTTTACACTGCCTTCCTTCGCAGCTCAGCTCGGCACTCCTTCAGCAGCTCGAAACTCCCGTACTCGGTGATTGGAATCCTCTTCCTTTACAGGACTCTGTCAAGCGCTCCTTCACATCTCTCTCAAACTTCTTTTCTTTCAGGCAGCTCCAAACTCCGTCCTTTCTCCACAAGCGCGCTGTCGGTAACCTCTCACCGACTTCTCATCGAACTCTCACTGGAAACTCCTCGACGACCTTTCACCACTCTCCTTCTCAACTCCATTCACCTTCTCAACCGCCCCTCTTCTCTTTAGCCGCTCCTTTTCTTTCCGCCTCGTCTTCCTTTATAAGAAGCCCTGATGAGCGCGGATTGTTTCCAGCTGGTGGCAGCGGGCCGGCAGGAAGTGTGCGTCTCGGCGTGCCTCTCTCCATGGTGCTGATCCTGTCACCATGATCCTGTCTCAGCGGGGCCGGAGCAAGGAGCTGTCCTTGGTGCGGTGGTTAAAATGGAGCTCAGGAACACAGAGGTCATAACACCCCGTGTCTCCTGATGACTCCGCCAAGAGGGAGCATATAAAGATTAAAAAGCACTGGGCCTAAAATTGAACCCTGGGGCACACCACATGTAATCCCATGGACCCTAGAGGAACAGGTATCCAAACTCACCATGAAAGTCCTGTCTGTGAGGTAGGATGTGAACCATCTATGTACAGCACCAGAGAGGCAGATCTGTTGTAAACGAGTTAAAAGAATAGTGTGGTCTACTGTATCGAAGGCAGCACTTAGATCCAGTAGAACCAACACTGTCAACTTCTGTTTATCATAATTTACTCTAAAATCATTTAAAATCTTCAGAAGGGCTGTCTCGGTGCTGTGGTTCACCCTAAAACCAGACTGAAATTTCTCTAGGACATTATTAGTGTTTATAAAATCATTTAGTTGATTTAAAACCAACTTTTCTAAAATTTTGCTTAAAAATGGTAAGTTGGATACCGGTCAATAATTGTTTAATTCATTAAAATCTAAATTGCTCTTCTTCAACATCTATCTATCTATCTATCTATCTATCTATCTATCTATCTATCTATCTATCTATCTATCTATCTATCTATCTATCTATCTATCTATCTATCTATCTATCATCTATCTATCTATCTATCTATCTATCTATCTATCTA